GTCTCTCTCTCTGCCCCTCTCCCATTCGCGCTCTGTCCCTTTCCCTCTCAAAAATAAATAACAGTAAAAAAATTATTTTTAAACATCAATTTAATGGACCCAATGTGCTTGTGGCGGCACTTTTGATCTCTGTTGGTTGAGAAGACAAAGAGGCACAAAGATATAGTAAATTCAGTGACACTTCTATGGATGTGTATTTTATCGGTAATAAGCATTGAAAAAACGAGCAGGGCATATTGTCTACTTTGTCTGTAGGTGACACTTGGTGCACCTGTGGATTTACGGTGCCTTGCATTGACTCCAGTGCTCCCTCAGTAGTCTCCCTTGTTGGGAGCACAGCCCTAAATTCTCTCTGGGAAGCAAGGCTGGTGGCCAGCCATCATGCATGAGGTATTTCACTGAGTGAAATCTACACTGTGCACGGCCCCTCTGGCTGTGGCATCTCAGGCAAACCAAGTCACCATTTGCACAATGGGACTAGTAGCTTACTCCCTGGGATTGTTGTGAGGATTAAATTAGACAACCCAAAAGCTCCTAGAATAGTCAGGCACAAAATGTCAGCTCCGTAAATGTTAGTTCCCTCTAGTGGCCATAATTTTCTTTTAAAACTGTAAATGAGGGGCGCCTGGGTGGCGCAGTCGGTTAAGCGTCCGACTTCAGCCAGGTCACGATCTCGCGGTCCGTGAGTTCGAGCCCCGCGTCGGGCTCTGGGCTGATGGCTCAGAGCCTGGAGCCTGTTTCCGATTCTGTGTCTCCCTCTCTCTCTGCCCCTCCCCCATTCATGCTCTGTCTCTCTCTGTCCCAAAAATAAATAAATGTTGGGACAGAGAGAGACAGAGCATGAATGGGGGAGGGGCAGAGAGAGAGGGAGACACAGAATCGGAAACAGGCTCCAGGCTCTGAGCCATCAGCCCATTCATGCTCTGTCTCTCTCTGTCCCAAAAATAAATAAACGTTGAAAAAAAAAATTAAAAAAAAACAACTGTAAATGAGATCATGTTACTTTCCTACTTAAATCTCTTCAAAGGCTTCCCATTGTTGCTAGAGTGAAATTCAAAGTCATCTCTGGCCTTCCTCGTTAATCCTGCCCCCTCAGGCTTCATTCCTCTGGGGCCCCCCTGCTTTCCTGCGGGTGCCTAGGAACACCCCCAGCTTCTTCATCCTTTGCTTCTCTCTCTTGGGTCGGCTGAAGAGGCAACTCCTCAGAGAGGCTGTGTCTGGAGCACGCTTTCCTGAGCACTCCTGTCCTCTGTTGGCATTGGTTTCTGTTATAGCATATATCATAATAAAAATTAAGGAACTAACTACCTTTCCTGTTTATTTTCTGTCTCCATCAGGACAAGGTCTTGGCCTGCCGTGTTCACTGCTGCCCACTGTGCTCACAGGGCCTGGCACTGAGTAGGGGATTAAAGTGTATGTGTTGGGTCAACACATCTGGCACACAGTAGGTGCTTCATAAGTGTCAACTAATTGTTTTATGGAAGAAGTATCCTACCAAACAACCAGCTTTTGTTTAAAACATGTGATCATTTACTGCATTTACCCTGCTTATTCTTTGCTGTAGAAATATAGAAATCTAACTGCATCCCACTTCTCTTCCTTCTCCTTCTCCTTCTCCTTCTCCTTCTTCTTCTTCTTCTTCTTCTTCTTCTTCTTCTTCTTCTTCTTCTTCCTTTTGAGAGAGAGAGACAGAAAGAGAAAGAGAGAGCAGGGGAGAAGGACAGAAGGAGAGAGAACCTTAAGCAGGCTCCATGCTCAGAGCAGAGCTCAATGTGGGCTTGATCCCACAACCATGGGATCATGGCCTGAGCTGAAATCCAGAGTCTGGTGCTAAACCGACTGAGCTGCCCAGGTGCACCCCCCCAGCCCCGGAACTTCTTTTGGAGGGTCTGTCATGCTGCTGTCATCATGTGATATGGTGTGTGTGTGTGTGTGTGTGTGTGTGTGTGTGTGTGTTTGCTTAGCACAGTAACTGGCACATAGTAGGCACTATGTGATGTTAGCTATCATCATCGCCATCGCCAATATTAACATGTGTTGGGATCATATTCCTTTCTCTTTTTTTCCAGGCTTCTTGGCATGGCACCCTGTGTCTTTCTTGGTGGCCATCTTTGGCTAATGGGCAGTGGGCCTTCCTCCTTCCTCTGGCTGATGTTTTTACCACTCCTCTATCCTTAAGGGAGATGCTGCTGCTCTCCTAACCACTGCATCTCTAGTGGGGAGTTTTCTTTTCCTTATACCCTGCTCGAAACAGAGGCCGCAAGTTTCACCGCAAGTTTCACCAGGTCCTTTTTTAGGCCCAGGAATAATTGACATGAGGACCCACAGGAACGTGACTCATGTAGCTCCCAGGAGTGGTTCTGCTGTAATCCCAGGGACCCAGAGTCTCCTTAGAGTCTTTCTCAGCTGCCCCATTTCACCTCCACCCTCGGGACATGTTTGAGAGAGACAAAAAGAATTAAATTTCTTTCTCTCACTCAGGAAAGCAAGAAAGCCTCTGAGTCACAATTCTGACTCAATTCTATGTAACAATTGACATTTCCAAATGAAGGCTTAACTTCCTCTCCTAAAAGTGCTGTATTAAATTAGATTTTTGTTGTTGTTGTTGTTGTTTGTTTCCTTCCCTAAGAACCATTGAGAGTGTTCTTGACTTGTATTAATGTAACCAAAGGGCATATTTTGGTGTTTTTTTCTAAAATAAGGTAATAGTAGCTGGGAAGGCGAATTCAATCTTCTTTGCGGAGATAGAAAACTGCTTTGAAATGTAAGGTTTTCTCTTTCTCACTCTCCCTATCTTTTCACTGCAAGCTTCAGGCACTCACTGCCTGCACATAAGGATCGTCTCACACATTGCTGTCCATACTGCCTCCTGATTGCAGGTGCGTATCAGTCAGGTTTGCCTTTGGCATGCTGCGGTAACAAACATCTCTAAAATGCTAGTGGCCCAAACCATGAAGATCTGTTGCTCACCTACATTACATGTTCAGGTCAAAGGCTATGATCCTGGGATTCTCCCAGAGACCCAAGATGGCTAAGCAGCTGCCATCTTGAATTGCATGCCATTGTGCCACGGGGAATAGAGAACTCTGCGTCTGGCATCAATAGCTCAATGATCTGTCCCAGAAGGGGCACGTGTCATTTCAGCTCTCTACTCATTGACCAAAATAAGTCACACAGCTCCTCCCTACCAGCTGGGAGCCTGGAAGTGCAATTCTCCCCTGATTCTGGGAGAGCTGACTGTTTTGGTGAGCAACACCAATATTCCTAACAATATTCTGGGTAAATATTTGGTGACTGATCTCACTTCTTTTCCCAGAAAGAGCTCATGATCTTTTTTTACTTCTACTTGGATTCTCTTTCATTTCTCTTCTTGAGGACTTAGAGACAAAAAATAAGGCCTATCATATAGTATCAAGAATGCATTTTAGTTTTCAACCTGGTCTTCTCTTTAATTTTATTTTCCTTGTGTTATTTCCTCCATTCCTGGGACTTTTGATGTGTCATGTCCTCTTCTAGCTTTGACATTACTCTGAAAACTTAAGACTGGAAACACTGGGAAAAGGTATTCAGCTTGGCTCCCTTTTTGGGTCCTGCCTTGTGTCACACTTTTTTGCCCCTCCCAACTATTCATGTATCAGTATCACCAGATTCCTGCACATTCCTGAGAGAGCCTCATATCCT